ACTGGAGTGCAGTGACATGCTCACGGTCACCACAGCCTTGACCTGCTGGGCTCTGGCGATCCTTCCACCTCACTCAACCTTCCGAGTAGCCGGAATTACAGGCACGCACTACCATGCCCGACTGATTTTTTCCTTTCTTTTTTTTTTTGAGTTGAAGTCTCACTCTGTGGCCCAGACTAGAGTGCAGTGGCCGCTCCCGGCCACTGCAGCCTCGACCTGCTGGGCTCCGGCGATCCTTCCACCTCAGCCTTCCAAGTAGCCGGAGTTACAGGCATGCGCTACCATGCCCGTCTGATTTTTTGATTTATTGTAGAGATGAGGTCTCGCAGCACAGGTGGGTCTCGAACCCACGGGCTCAAGCAATCCACTCACCTCAGCCTCCCAAAAGGCGCGGGATTACAGGCTGAGCCACTGAGCCCAGCTTTATTTTATTTTTCAGTTGGAGTCTGACTCCCATGCTGGAGAGCGGTGGCACTCTCATGGCCACTGCAGCCTCAACCTGCTGGGCTCAGGCTATCGTTCCGCCTTAACTGTCTAAGTAGCTGGAACTACAGGTAGGCCCCACCACATCCAGCTAATTTTTTGTTTTATTATAGAGATTAGGTCTTGCCACATTGCCCAGGCTGGTCTTGAACCTGTCGGCTCACGCAATCCTCTAACCCCGACTTCCCAAAGTGCTGGGGTTATAGGTGAGACCCCCCGCACCCAGCCTAAATTTTTTTTTTTTTTTTTGGGTTGGAATCTCACTCGGTCGCCCAGACTGGAGTGCAGTGGCCGCTCCCGGCCGCCGCAGCCTCGCCTGCTGTCCTCCAGTGATCCTTCTGCCTCAGACTTCCGAGTAGCCGGAATTACAGGCATGCGCTACCACGCCCGGGTGATTTTTTGATTTATTGTGGAGATGAGGTCTCGCTGCCCAGGTGGGTCTCAAACCCGGGGGCTCAGGCAATCAGCCTCCCAAAGGTGCGGGATTACAGACTGAGCCACCAAGCCCGGCCTAAATTTTTAAAGTCCTTTTTTTTACTTCACTCTGGGGTGTTGGACTGAGCAGTGGAGCAAAGTGCCCCCCCCACTTCCCCACGACACCCACTGACTCCCCCCTTCTGTATTGTGAGGTTTAATTCATAACAATTTAATATTTTCAAGGTGCCGTGAAATAGCTCCACTGCTGGTGCCAGCCTGGAGGGAGTGAATGACATCAGTTATCAGCGTTACTGTGGGTGGGGGTGTAGTCCCTGAGCCTCCTGAGTCTAATTGAGGGTGCCACCTACCTCTCTGTCTGCCACATTACATTTAAGCACGTCTGACCTGGTTCAGTCGGGGCATAGGGACCCGGCACTAATGAGGAAGGCCCTTGGGGGACAACCTTGTGGGTGAGCCCACCCAGTACTGCTGTCCACTGCTGAGTCACATGGTAGACCCTGGCCTCTGGGGAAAGGTCAAAGTTCACCTCTCATCACAAGGTTAGACAGTGGCCTCCTGTGAAGGTAAACACTCAGCTGGTGTATCAGGTCTCTGCCATGAAGCCACCCTCACCCCTGGGAAGGGTGGCGCATTGTTCATAACTTCTGAAATTCTTTTCTGCCTGTCTCATGGCACAGGAGTTTCAGGCACGTGCCCTGGACTGCCTGGGCATGAAACTTAGCACAACCAAATGCTGGGCGACTTAATTAACTCTTGGGTCTGGGGAATGCAGGTGGATAATGGGACCTGCCTCAGGATGGCACGGGTAAAGAGATGTTAGACTGTTCAGCCTCCAGTAGGGACCTGTGAACCGTTAGACATTGTTGACATCACAATGGCAGAGTGGGGAGGAACAGATCTAATGCCAGCATATCAGCCACTCTGGAAAAAACACTTAGGAAGTTACCATCTCCCTCAGGGAAGTAACCTAGTAGTTTATCCTCCAATGCTGGAAAGATGACACTGGGAATGCAGTCATGAATTTTTAGAAGCCAACATGAGTTAAACATCAGTTCTTATCTGAATTTCTCTGTTTCTAAGAGCATGAGGTTAAATTTGTTATTTAAATTCCCTGCACATGATCAAGTAGGGAACGTGTTAACTGCAGTCAATTTCCCCATCTGCAAAATAAGGAAAATAGTACTTAGCACATTTAAAGATTGAGTTGTTAATATAGGTTAATGCTGATACAGCATAATCCAGTGCATAGGAGGGCAGGGCCTCCTGTGAGTCCTGCAGCCTGGAGGCTGGACTGATGGGGCCTGTGTGGAGTGCAAAGGGGAGGAGGAACTGAGCTTTGCCGCTTCCAGTCATGGCTGTTGGTGCTGAAGGTGGTTTACACAGGCATGTCAGGAAGACCATGGTGGGTGCTAAATTATGCAATGGGAAGGTGGGGAGAGTTATATCTGTTCAGCTCAGTCCGGGACACCCAGGAAGGAAGCTGGTGGTGTGGATAGTGGGTTTTCTTGCCTGAATCTGGCTCCAGGCATGAGTGTTGAGGTCAGGGTTGGGAAGAAGTGCTGGCCACGTGTCAGGTTGACTGAGCCAGTTGGCACTGCTGAGGCTCTAGGGACTGCCCGAGGTGGTTAATCATTGTCAGCTCTGGCTGCAGTGCCCACCTGGGTCTGTCTAGGAGGGGAGAGACAGTCTGGCTTGTGGACCCAGGTGGGACTGTCTGAAGGGCTGGGGTCAAGTGCCGCCTGAGGAGCCCACCACCAACTGGGACCCCACTCCTGACCACTAGCCCTGTGTCCCCTTGCCTCGTCTCTGGCCCTCCCTGAGGTGGTAGACTCTTCTAGAGTCTCATCTTGTGGCCTGGCCTCCCATGCTGTGCCAGGTCACTTGGGCTCCTTGGTTTCCTGATGTGCTTTGAGGCAAAACTCTGGTAATTATGATTCTGAACCACACTCGGGTTTCCTGGGTTCTGGCCATGGCTCAGCCAGCCTGTTCTTCCGGATCAGGGCTCAGGGCTCAGGACTTGGGCTGGGTCAGGCATGTCCTCTGTCCTAGTGGGGATTGCCTCCCATGTGCTGGCATACCTCCTGGGCCATTACCCGGTATTGGCGGTTTGTGCATAATCAGAATAGGGCTTTCTTTACACTGCATGTGTCCAGGATGGCTGGTGTGCCCAACAGTTTCGGGCAAAGCTTGATTCAGTAGGCCTAGGAAAGTGCCTGAGATTTCTGCAAGGTAGCTGGCTCTTGGTGCTGGCTCCTGGACCACATGGGAGAGCAATGGGATCAAGCTGTCCGCTGCCCATGCCTGGGCAGTGGGCGGGGGTGAAGTTGTAATGGGGACCTCAAGCAAAAAATTGCAAGTACGCCCCAGGGTGCCACAGGCCAAAAGAGTACAAGCACCCACAGTGCCCTCTAGTGGGCATGGACCCAGGACACCCATGCAGTTCGCAGTATGGCGGCTGGAGTTGCTGCTTCTCAAAGGTGCTCTGGGAGGCTAGGCTGGGTTGTCTGGTGGGGGTCGGGTGTCTCCAAGGTGGGCACACTAGCGGGGAGGGCCTGGTGCAGATGACGGCCAATTACTTGGGAAGCTTTTCCCAGGTGGTGTGGCACAAACAACCTCTTGGAGCAGAATGGGATGTGTGTCTGGCTGAAGATAGAAAAAAAAGTCAAAGGAATCGAGCTCTTAGAAATGGTGTGATGGCTCACGCTTGTAACCACAGGATGAGGCAAGAGGATTGTCTGAGTCTAGGGGAGTCAAGACCAGCTTGGGCAAATTGGTGAGACCTCAGCTCTACAAGAAATAAACGTAACTGAGCATGGTGGTGCGCCTGTGGTTCCATCTACTTGGAAGGCTGGGGCGGAAGGATCCCCTGACCTCAGCAGGTCGAGTCTGTGGTGTCCATTGGTGTGCCACTCTGCACTCCAGCCTGGGCGACAGAAAGACTCAGACTCAAAAAAGGTAAAACAACGACAAAAACTGACAGCTGAGCTGGCATTATTTGCCCTCTGCACTGGCCATGGGTTGTTTGACCCTGGAGAGTAACCTGGCGTTTCCGTTCTCTCCTTTTCTACCAGGTGGCCCCACATCTCCTTAGGAAGAAAATGTGCAGGTTCTTGCTTCCAAAATGTCTGGTGGCATTCCATAGCACTGCAGGCAGTGGACCAGGCCAAAGGTCACACAGACCCTCAGCCCATTGGTGAGGGCCTGGCCCTGTGTCCTAGCTGCCTTAACCTTGTGCTGATGAGGTTGCTGGAGAGGAGCCCTGGGAAGAACACCTCCCAGGGAGGGGATGAGACTGTAGCTGACTAGGGTCCTCCTCCTGTTAACTGCCCCAGCTGCTCTGCCTGTGCCTCCTCCATCCTTCCTTCTTGGGAACTTGGGACTCCGAGCCCCAGCTGGTGAGGGAGGAGGGAAGTGAGTGACATGCCAACAGACCAATGGGCCCTGGAGGATGGGGTGAGGCGGGGCTTGTGCTGCCATGGAGAGGAGAGAAGCGGTTCTGTGGGGGAGGAGGGGG